TCTTTGTTTTGTAGCTCATCTGAAACCTTTCCACCATGGGTGACCCTGCTGGTTATTTAAAACACCGGTGGCATAGCCCTCAGAATCACAGGAACTCAGACCACCACAGCACGACAGACAGACGAGTGGTGGGTAAGGTTAGTGCTTTTATTTATCCCTTGTGCTGAGTCCAGGATCTGTTGTTTAGTACTTACTGTTGAGTCTTCATAGTAACCCTGTATAGGGTTTCCAAGGAGTGGCTGGTGAGTTTGAACCTTACAGTTAATACACATTAAAACTCACTGCACCTCTAGTCAATTCCAACTCATAGTGCCCCATGTAAGTTTTCCCAGACCGTCTATCTTTATGGGAGCAGAGAGCTTTGTCCTTCTCACTCAAAGAGGCTGATGGGCTTGAGCTGCTAACTTGTGGTTAACAACCCAATACTTAACCAAAAGTGCCACCATTAGAGGTAAAAAAATTTACACATATAAGCAAACTAGATTCTTAAGGATGCCTGGCAAATGAGCTACTTCCAAAAACAGTAAAAGATTGCCCCAAAAGTGTATTCGTGAGTACTAAAGTTCCCTCCCTCCACAAACATTTATTATGGTCATGTGCTGTATAAATACTGATACCAATAGTCTTGATATTTAAAAAATATGATAGATATAGCTTCTGCCTCTCGCTTTAAAACCCAATCTTGGGAACAGCAGTTTTTATTAACCAAATGGTCTGCGTATCTACTTTCGATCCCAGACAAGGGACCAGCCTTCGAGTTGTCAGTCGGGAGCCCGGACCTCGCGGGTGAAAGAAAACGTCGAATAAGACAATATCGCAAGCAGCAGTTAATCTTGAGCGGAGAAGAGTTGGCAGAGAACCCCCAGGCGCAAAGCCTGAAGCCAAGGAAGCCACGCTAGGCAGCCCGGCACAAAGCCCGCCTTTCCGCCACGCGTCGCCATAGCAACGCGGGACACGTGCCTGTCCGGATTGGCCAGGCCCGGCACTCGCAAGGTCTGCTGGGAGAGCACGTCTCCTCTGCGGCTCCGCCGGTTTGAACTTGGCGGGCCTGATGTGGACCTCGGGGTTACTGAGGCCCAAGTCTCTCCCTCCTCACACTGGGTTCCCTGAGGACTGCAAGCCCAGGTCTCGGCATTCCTCAGGGTCTTTCTCCGTCCTCATGGCGGGCGCCCGGGGGCAGGGGCTAGAGGTAGTGGCGGTGTCTGTGTGCTCGCCGTCCCCGCCGCCGAGCTTCAGCAATTCCACTATGTCGCTATTGTCACCCCTCGGGCACCAGAGCTTCCCGTTTGACGAGGATGACGGTGATGAGGATGAGGAGGACGTGGCCAAGGTGGAGAGCCTGAAAGGAATGGAGTTACTGGGGCGTGCCAGGTAAACCCGAGGCTGCAAGTTTGTTAGAGCCTCTAAGTGTTTTCCTCTGCTGGCCAAACACTCGCCTTTTTGCACATAAAGCATTTAGGGCTTCTTGTGATGCAATAAGCAGCAAAGTTCTGGATCAGTTCTTACAATTGACGATTTGTCTTCTGTGATTCTTAGTCCTTTTTCCTGGAACTCTGATGATTGTTTACGACCTCACTCCCCAGAAAAATGCTAGTATTTAAGGAGTTTAGGAGCCCTCGAAAGCCAGATTATGGACTCCCAAACTCTTGTTCAAATCCCTAAAACCCAAATGTGTTCATTTCGAAAAATCTGTCTCTTTTTTAGGGAAGTAGCTATCAGTAAGCTGTGCACTTGTTCAAAGATAAAGTATGACCAGGTGAAACACCCAGGTTAGAGATGTCACCCTCAGCATCCAGAGCCAGCCTTGGGTTCTGCTCTGAACATTTCCTTATAGTGGGATAGAAGCCATGTAATCAAATTTAAAAATGTTCGAACCAAAAGGATTATTAAATCCATCACAAATTGTTTATTTCAATAGTTATTCATTCAGCAAACATTTCTTTTTTGGCACTGAGAGCACCATAGCTCCTTAGGGTAAGCATGGGGCTGCGAACTACAGGGTCTGTGGTTCTAGCCAGCCAGCTGCTCTGCGGGAGAAAGATAAGACTTTCTGCTCTGGTAAGATTTTTAAAAAGCCTCAGAAACCCTATACAGGGTGGCTGTGAGTCAGAACCAGCTCGATGACGTACAACAACTAGTCAAGTACTTGGTACTGTAAATAAAATAGAGTGTTTCCCCCATGGAATTAAATCTTTAGTAACATCGTTTTTCAGATGAAACTGATTCAAAATATAAAGTGTGGTCCAAAGGCATACACCTTGTTATTAATAGAGCTGGGGCTACTATCAGAGTGTACCAGTATGTTCTTTCTTCCTAGTATTTGTTGTTGTTAAGTGCCATTGAGTTGGATCCAACATATCATCCTGTATGGGGTTTCTGAAGAGCAGCTCTTGGGTTTGAACTGTCGACCTTTTGGTTAGCAGTCCAGTCCTTGTCTTACACACCAGGACACCTTTCCTACACTGCGTGATTGTTAGTGGATTTACAGCAATAGAATCAAATGGTCTTGCCTGCAGGAATATCTTTTTCTGAGACAAATCTAAGTCATGCAGATCCATTCTGGGGTAAATTTCATTACATTGTCAGAAAACTTAAGTTTCTAATTGTCACAGTACAGGAGATCTAAGACCAGAGAACACATGCTTAATGTGTAAGTGCTAAGGTGACTACCTTGAGTATAAGTCATTTAGTCTGAATGAGTGAATAGAATATGGAACCATACAAAGTGAACCATATACAAGATTACAAGAGTGAGTCTTAAGGATGAGAAGTAAAAGTCAGTATGTGATTGGATTGGAGATCAGAAAGAGTAACCAAGCAGCCCACGTTTCCAGACTGGTTTGTTCTATCAGCCTGGTAGTAGAACTTAATGCAGTTTCAGGAGTCCAGTTTTCTTCTGGGCCTATACAGGAATTTTTCAAGACAGTTGATACCAATGTTGTTTTTTTGATAACTATTTTTTAACCCTTTGGAAAATACTATCCAGTTATAAACATGATTAGGGTCTTGGTGTGGCACTGTAGGTTAAGTTCTGGACTGCTAACTCAAGGTGACAGTTCATAACCACCAGCAGCTCCTAGGAAACCCTATTCAAGGTGCCTATGAGTCAGAACCGACTCGATGGCACTTAATAGCGGCAACATCATCAGGATTGAGTAAGTGTGAATGGTCATTAACACTACAGCTCACCTACTGATACCTTGTATTGCCTTCTAAGCAAAAACTAAATGGAACTCACAGGAAAGGAGGCAGACCTATCTTACATTATTAAACGCCTGAATGAGCTGATCACACTGTAGAGCTAAGGTTGCCTTTTACAAAAAATTCATAGTTCTGTCCCTATGAATCAAAAGGATTGAATGATACAATCTGGAAAGGAAATGCAGGATTTGTCAGGCCACGTATACAGCGAGTATCAGGCACATGAATGTAACCTCCTAGGGAGGTTTAGTAGTAGAATTCTCACCTTACGTGTGGGAGATCTGAGTTTGGTTCTTGGCCAATGCACCTCCAACCTCCAGCATAGCCACCAGCCATTTGGTGTGTTGGTGGAGGCTTGCCTTTTGCTGGGGTGATGAATTGGTGATGTGATGCTGTAGGATAAGCACTGGACTGCAAGGTTAGTTTGAACCTCAAGCTCGGTAGTTCAAACCCACCAGCTGCTCCTTGGAAACCCTAATCAGGGTTGCTATGAGACTCGATGGCATTTAACCAGGACAACATTAGTAAAGATTACCACCAAGACAGGAGATCCTGGCATGGAGTGTATTCTTTGGACTTGGGATTCCTGTACTGTGAAGCTCCTAGATACAGTGGAAGATTGAAACCAAGATGTATAGATATCATCAAGGAATACTGGACCTACAGATGCTGAAAAGAAACAAGGAGCTTCCCCAGATCTGAGAAAGAAAAAGGCTTTTCCTAAAGGTGGCACTCTGAATTTGGACTTCTAGCCTCTTAAACTCTGAGAGAACAAATTCTGGTTGTTAAGCCATCCATGTCTGGCATGTTGTCAGGAAGGAGCAGTCCCTGGAGAAGGACATCAGGCTTGGTAAAATGGAGGGTCAGTGAAAAAGAGGAAGGCCCCCAACAAGATGGATTGGCAGTGTGTTTCATTCTATTGTGCATAGGCTCCCTAAGAGTTAGTTATCAACTCAGAGGCACCTAACAATAGCAATAGTGTTTTCATAGTTTCTGATTTTGTCAAATTTTCGAGGTTTCAGTTGCAATATTGTGGTAATTAGTATTTGTGCACCTATATCGATAACTTTTTTTGGACAATAAAGTAGTAAAGAAAAAGAAAAATCAAAAAAGGCTTCTATTTAGTTATTAATGTAACTAATTTAATGTGGAAAAATTTCATAAAAACTGTTTTGTTAGTATTAATTTAATCTAAGCAATATTACATTTAAGTCATTTACAGCTGTGCCACATGTTCTGTGATTCAGATCCATGATAAATGGCACTAAGCATTCTGTATCGTCTGCTGCAGAAGGGGCCCATGGGATGGAGGGCTGTGCACCGCACCATGAGTCATTGCACTGGGTAACACTGCCCCTGGGGTTTTACTAGGATACAAACTCAGTGAGCATGTAGAGGAAGGAAGAAATGCAGCAGCAAACAGCAACAACAGAATGAAGTAAGCAACACCTATGTGGTAAAGAAGAGTTGTACTTAGCGATGGGCAGGAGTGTCAAAGAGATGAATGCCCTAGTGTTTAGAACTTCCATAGGCTCTGAACAATTTTTCTTTCCGTGGGTGCTGATTGTTCAGCCTTAAGTATTGTGAGGCTCTGTAACTGGCCAAGTCCCTGGTTTCTTGACTTGCATATGTTCTCAACAGACCTTTCCCCTCCCCTTTCTATGTAGCTTGCATTCTTAATTACTTCTGGATGTACCCAGAAAAGACAGACCACCAGAGTTATGTGATGGAAATGGAAACTATGGTAGGAAGTAACCTTGCTAAAGCAATCAGCAAACGGGAGTTTATTTTTGTCAGCTTTGAAAATAATTTCAAATTTACAGAAAAGTTGAAGAGAGTATCCTTTTGTTCACCCGTTGCCTACAGTCCTAGTTGTTAATAGATTAATTTTATTTTTTCTCTTTGTAGATATGCATTTTTTTTAAATCATTTAAGAGTAAGTTGTAAGCATAATGCCCTTTTGTATCTAAATACTTCAGTGTGTTTTCTTGCACATAACTGCAGTTTGACAATCAAAATCAAGAAAACCATTGTTAGAGTATTATTATCTCATCTCACACATTATTTAGCTTTTCCCATTTGTCCAATAGTATTCTTACAAAGTCTGCTCCAGGATCTGATTAGGTTTATGCATTTTAATTCCATTCTAGTCGATTCTGACTCATAGCTATCCCATGTGTTCCCAAGTAGGAGTTTTAAACCCTAGGATGTTTAATGGCTGAATTTTAACAAGTACATCGCCAGGTTTAGGTTTTGAGGTGCCTCTAGATGGACTTGAACCTCCAACCATTTAGGTAGCAACCAAGTGCATTAACTATTTGCACTACCAGGGGACCCTGCATTCTAATAGTAGTCCAGATCAGGGATTTTTATTTTATTGAGTTTAATGGACTGAGTGTGGGTTACCCCTATGAGTTTTTAAATAATGTAGTTTTAGGATATGAAGGTATTCAAAGATAATTTGATGGATAAA